TCTAGTGAGTATATGCATTTCTTTATACCTGTATCGTTACTAAGAAAAACGTTTTAATTATATTAATAAAATATTACTAAAATTTTAATAGTTATACAAAATTTTGATAGAATTATACTTGTCTGGTTATTATGATTAAACTTTTATTTAATATTTATAGCATACTTTATAGCAAAAACTTTTTATGGACTTAACTATACAAGAATTTGGTTAATTGAATCTATAAAATTCCAATTCTATTTACTAAAAAGTTTTAATAAAAAATTATGCTGATCTAATTAAATAAATTTAATATTGTAAAAAAAATTCTGGTATATATTTAATAGAAATAAATTTATCATGCTTATTTAATTTCTAGAAGAATTTTAATCTGTTAATTTTTTAATAGATATACAATTAAAATGAAGAGAATTTAAATTCGGCTAAATAAGAGTCAGCGCGGTAAGAAGTGCGCAAATTTATAGAAAAATATATTTAATGAAACATAAGATACGTGATTACATCGACGTTTGATATTTCCGTACGTTTCGTCTATACATTTTAGTCATCCTCAGCAGAACATTGACTCAATCAGAACATGACAGAGTTTAGACAATATTCTCTTTTACGATTTTTGTAATTTGGTTATTCTGCATTTATTTTAATTTATTATTGGAGACTAATTGTAAGTGACAATGTTTTTTTCTTTGTTATACCTTAGATCCGTTTGATAACATAATTTCGTTATCAATAAACATGGAAACTTCTTTGGCCGATAATTGTGCTTCCTGTCGGATACTTGGAGATTTAATGTCAATGTTCTGCTGAGGATGGCTAAAATGTATAGCCGGAAATATCAAATGTCGATGTAATCACGTATCTTATTTTTTATTAAATTTTTTTTCTACAAATTTGCGAACTTCTTATCACGCTGACTCCTATTTAGCCGAATTTAAATTTTCTTCGTTTTATTGAAATATAAGGGGAGTTTATTATTAATTATTGTATTGAATATACCAATTAAATCTATCAGACTTTTTATTTATGTAACTAGATTTTTTTAATGTTATAATTTTTATATTTTTCTACACTCTTCTTTCTTATATACTCGATGATAAATCTCTAAGAGTGAAGTATATTATATATATGTATTTAATTTTTTGGTTATAGCTTCTATCTAACAATAAATATATTTTCTTTTTAATATAGATTTCATATAATTAACTTTGAAATGCGTATATATAACATAATAAATAAAAACTAGTGCTATAGAAACAAGATTAAAAGTGGTAATCACAACTATTTCAAATTCACTCATTAATATATTAATGACATTTATATAGTACTCTTTACGTGAGTATCGTCATTGTACTTTATTCATATTGTCTTTCAAACTCGTTAAAACACTTGATTATCTTGCGTGAAACAATAGACAGATTTCATTAACGCTTATTCATAAATATATATATGTAAAACTTCTGCTGGTGTGTCATTAATTTTGCATGATAATAATAATAATAATAATAATAGCACCAACAACAACATTAACAATAATTTTTATTATATTTTATATACATAGGAATAATATATAAAATATCTTTTACTTTTTTATTTTTAAAAAGATACTTCTTTAACAAATTCAACCTTCTTTCTATGCAACAATTTTCTTTCTATTTAGCCTTTTCTTTTCTACTTCTATAAAAATTTAATACTAGTACAGGCTCTAAATAACCACTTACTGTAAGTATTAAAAAAATATTATTAATAGTATTTTTAATATTAAAAATGAGTAATTTATTGACCAGTAATAGTATTTTTCTATGAGAATTAATAATTTCAATCTTTTTTTCTATTTAACAAATTCTGCCTTCTTTTCCATACAAACTTATATGGATAGTTTTGCGTTACTAATTTACGTGCACATAATAATTTTGCATATATAATAATAATAATAATAATAACATATTTTGGATAAAAAGAACAATGATATCATGTATGTTGATCGATAAATCGAGTAGATTAATATATAAACTAAATAGTCTAATTTCGATAACATATATATTACATATAATTGGTTTTCCTTTCACATAACATATTTCTACGCAAACTATAGCCACGTTTACGTTTAATACGCTTATTACAAGGAGAAACTTGTTCTCTGGAAAAAGTTTTACTCTTCAAGAAGGATAAGCAAGTTTCATTTTTAAGGAGAAAGATTTTCCTACAAAATATTTGTAACGCGTAGGTTCAGCAAATAAATAATGTATGTATGTTGTTGAATGAGTTAAAGTAGAGTAGGCGATAGTTTTCGAAATTTAAAAATTAACGCCTAGTTTGCTAACAACAAAGCAAAATAATAGATAAAGATGTTTGTTTAGAAATACCTGGATATTCTGTCAAAACAATTGCATTTGCTCATTAGCAAGTGCTTGCGGTTTTCTTAGTTATTCAGGAAAATTTCAGTGTCAAAACAAACAGTCTGTAAATTTATTCCGCGGCAAAGGTAAAAGCGTTGGGCAAAATGAGTAGTTCGACATTCTCACGTAACAAATTGCCAAAGTAAAATTACTGAAATGGATAGGCTGTAATAACAAGCTACACAAGCTGCGTATAATAGCCGTAGGATGACTGTTATCTCTCTGAAGTGGGTTCGGAAGTACGCTTGATAGGAGAATGAATCCTAATTGGAGTGTTCATGATTTCAATTAATAATGCGTGATTCACTTTTGAAATGTAGTATTATTAGAAAAGCTAAATTACAAATATATATGTATATATATTATTCAAAAAATTAGTGCTTCTAAAAATACAAATGGATTTTCTATTATTATATAAACGAAAATATTACATTATTAATTGCTAAAGACTTTGGAAAATTAAATCATTATTGAAATAGAATTACACATACGTGCATTTCGCGGATTATTTCCATGTCTAGATCTATTGTTAAAATATTAATACTTCATGAACATATATATTCATTTTATCCAAAGATAGATTTGTCTGATTCATGTGTACTCTATAAAAAATAAAATGTTAATTTAAAGACGTATAGTGGATTTTCTGAGATATGCAAAAATAAAAAATTAATTTTAATTTAAAGACATAGAATATATTTTCTGAAACTTAACATTTTTATGTTAAATTTAATATAATAATGTTAAGTTTCATAAAATCTATTATACGTTTTTAAATTAAAATTAATTATTTATTTTTTACAGTATATATGTAATTAATATACATATGTAATTAATGTACATATACTTCAAATAAAAAAGTAAATTAGGGAATTTTTATATAATGAATTTTAAATGCGTTTATTAATTAAAATATTTTTATATGTTTCTATATTGCTTTTAAATTGTGAATGGAGAATTTGTTTTTTTTTTCTATATCAATGCAGAAAGATAGCTCGTAATTTATACAAAGGAGAGAAAATTCGGGAATGTACGTCGTCATTTTATTACGCAATTCTTGAAGTAGCTCGTTACATTTAGCTTTTCGTGTTAGCGATACAAAACTTGTTCTACACATGTAATTTACATACATACACATATACAATTATATTTGTATTTCCGTGACATAACTGAAAAGACTCTGATGAACATGTACTTAGATTCTCGACTGACTGGGAACGAAACGTGTAAAAGTAGCATTTTGGTCTCGTTTCAATTTACTTTCGCGCATTCGTTGAAATTATATCTATCTTCGTAAAGCTTGCAAAATCGACATAGCGAGTAAGTTGACGAAATATCATGTTTCGGGGCCGGTTGTTGCACCTTCGAATAATCTATGTAGTAATTTATGTAGCACCTAATAGAGAAAGTGAGAAAGAGAGAGAGAGAGAGAGAGTAAACTGAGATTAATCGAAAGTTGAAATAATCCAGCCGCGGACTGTCTACTTATATGTACATAGTAAGAGATGTTTTATATTTCTGTTAAATATTGGCATTCAATATTTCTTACAATTAGTGTTAAAATAATAGCGTTTATAGACATAATAAGATAACAAATAATACATAAAAGTAATGTAATTTTGAAACATAAATCTAAGATAAATGAATAAAATGTTCTTAATTAATTAAAAATAACTAAATTAGAGAAAAATTAGAGAAATATATTTCTAAAATTTACTTCCAAATTGTATCAAAATAAGAGAAAGAATTCTATTTGTATACAAATTAGCAAATATATTTTTTTAAATGTATGAATATCGAATCGGACTGGAAATGTAATAAGTTCGATAGTCGAAGCAGTATGGAAATAGAAGAAAATGTATTTGCAAATAAATACATATAAATATTATTAAGCACCAAAATTCAATTAAAAATAGAATTAATAAATGTTATAAGGCTCTATAAGTATAAAACAAAGTATATAGAAGAAGGGCAAAGAGCCAGTAAAATAAATTACGAAATTTAAATTTAAACGATAATACACAGAACTTTAATATAAATAATACAAAGAAGTTTAATATAAATAATACATACGTTTCGACTCCGATCGGGTCATTCTCAATGTTATAGTTAATATAATATAGAAATCGACATAAAGTAAAAAAATTACACAAAAAAACATTATAAATGTTGCTTCCACAGAAAATTACAATATCGTTATTCTTATTGTACAATATTATAATTTTCTGTGGAAGCAATATTTATAATGTTCTTTTGTGTAATTTTTTTTACTTTATAACGATTTTTATATTATATTAACTGTAACATTGAGAATGACCCGATCTGAGTCAAAACGTATGTATTATTTATATTAAAGTTCTGTGTATAATTATTATCATTTAATATTAAATCAAAGTATTACATTTTTGTTATATACATAATGTTTCTGTTACCTCTTAACATATTCATCTTGTGGTAAATTAAAACAAAAATTGAACCATTTGGAACATATAAAATATGTTAAATTTTATACAAATTTTCTAGTTATATATACTTTTGACAGGGCGATAATTTAATTGCTATAACTTTTTGACAGATACTCATTGAGCTGCAATTTTAAATATAATGACATCAACCGCGATAATGAAAGACAAATCTCCGCTGATCATAGTACACAAACAAGACTTATACGAACACTGGCTAAAGAATGCTCCAAAAATCATGTTCGGTGAACATCAACTTTCTGTTGAAATAAGCGCAATTGATGGGTTTTTTATTCAAAAGGCCAAGGAAGATTTACGGGAGACGCCAGAGATTGCTGCTCAAGGTTTCAAGGAATTAAGAGAGCTGCTTGCAGGTAGTAAAAGCTTAATTGTATTAGGAATGTAATCATACAATTGCTCTGTTATCTCGGCAAAATTGATGTCTCAGATTAAGGGACGAGGAGTAAGAAAGGAAATCAGTATCATGAGTATGAACTAGTTTGAATAAATAAACTAATTTTCTCGTACGATGATCCGTCAAGAGCTCGGACGCTTTGATGTCTTTGGTATATTATTTTCTTTTTGTATTTTACAAGGATTTATACGTCCGAGTACTTTTTTCCTACATATTTGTCTATTTTTTTCTCCGAAAACTGATTTTTTACGTATTATAAAATAACAGCAAAATTAGACAAAATGTTGTTCTTGACATTTTCTTTCTTGTAATTTTCTAATAATATTGGTTTCACTTGAAAAAAATTGCTCTTACCTAATTAGAGAAACGTAAGTTATCATTAGAACAAATTGCATTGGATTTCGTGTTTGCAAAATTTAAAGAGAAACTAAAAATAATTAATCCACGCAGAGAGGCGCGATACATAAGTGTAACAAAAAATTTCCTTCTTACGTAATCTTTAATTATACATGGTGTAATTCTAGCAAAATGCAATGATTTGCTCAATTAGACAAACAATTAGAATGCTATATTATTGTAAAAAATTATGCAATTTACGAAATAGCAATTGATCATTTCTTTTTTTTACTACGTATCATATAAAATAGCGATTAATTCTTTCTATCTGAAGAACGTCAACGAATAGATTGAGAATTAGCATAAATCGAGATTTTTTGACATCCAATTAAATTGAATCATTAAAATATAATTTATCTAATATAATAACATAATTTTATTACATTGAATTTTAATATACAGACAAAAAAGAATTTCTATGTATACGTACGTGAAAAAAATAATTATATGATATGAAGACGTTTTAAATATACATATATTTAAATATTTAATATAAATTTGATAAAATATGTTTTATTTTACAATTTAATAATAGAAAAGGACATGTTAAAATCAATATAAGTTTGATACACTCTTGCACGTATTATAATTAAATTGGATATTAAAAACTACCGATTAAAATGTATCTCAGTAGATTGAAACCAATTTTGTATAATTCTTAAATAGATATATTTATTTAATTGTATTTTAAAATTTAATTAGTTCTAATAAGACAATAGTTCTTAATTTAATAATAACATGTCTACACTGTTTACTTATTAGTAAAAAATAAAATTTTATTGTCAATGTACATAATTCGTACTCAAACCTCTTAGATTCGAAATTCTCAAATAATACGAATTCGAATCTCTATAATGAAATGATAGTCAAATTTTACTTAATTCATATTTGAATGATTCGCACATCTCTACTTTTCAGAATAAAAACAGAATTTTGCGTGAAATTACCATATACATATATATTCTGCAACGGTCAATTTAACAATGGTAAAAGTATATGAATATTGTACATGAATTCAACCATATTCACACGAATCTAGTAAAAACGAAAGTTGCTTGCGCCTGCAGCTTCGTACTAATCTCTAACAGAGTCACGCTTCTTGCTTACGAGAGCGAGATGTGCAAAAATGATTCTGTTATAAATACAAATTTACATTTTTTGGGAACACCGGTCATTATTAACATAATCGAATTATTATTTATATTTTTAATCAAAGTGGATCTTAGTGTTTTAATATTTCAGTGTGAATTTAAATACATGTCCAATTATGCAAACCGCGCGTTGAAATCTTTTTCAATCTTGAAATGCAATTATGAGCAAACTAGAGTAGTGATGGCTATGTTTAGCAAACTCAATAGCTCGTTATTATTAATGTATTCTTTTAGATCATTCAATCAGATTTTTAGATCTAGTAGAACACATCATTATCAATTAAAATAAGTCATTAATTTTACTTTTTATGATAATTTTTATGATAATTAATAAAATTTTTTTTTCTGTGAAATGTATATTTTGACATTACAAGCAAATTTTTTCGTAATTAATAAATATTAAAAATGACATCGTAAAAGTTAAGCCTCATTTATATTATAATAGTAGCATAGTCTATGTTGCAGGTTGCAAGCTTATTTTCGGCGACAGCCGATTTGATATGTCAATATTAAAATTAATTTTAAATTGGCTGTCGCAATATACAAGCTTATAACCTGCAATACAGATAGTGCAACTATTGCAGATGAGGCTTAAAATTTGTTTTGCAACACTTCAACAGTTTTTTTCAGCGTGTTTACATTATGACTAACAATTTACAATTATCATAATATGACAAAATAAAATAATAAAAGTTTGATGTTTATATATATTTTGCGTTATTTCAATTTTAGACTTTTGATTTCAGAAGTATATACTTTACAGAAGAACAAAAGAATATTTAAATAATATGGTAATCATATATCCGTTATTGTTTATAAATTCTTTCATCTTATGATCATTGAAAAATATACGCGTGTATACTTTATGTACAATATATAACAATATATAATCTTTTTTATGCTTTATCCGATTTTATTTGCAAAAATTATATATGAAATATTCTATATTGCGCAACATTAGAACACAGAATTTTAATATAAGAATTTTTAATTAAAAAATATAATAAACTTTATTTTTTTAACTAATAAACCGTTTATTATTGTATATTTTGTTTTTGTTTCTTTAGGAGAACCAGATCTGCATTTACCGGATGCAGACGACTTCTATATAACATTTTTACGACCATGTAAATGGTATGCGAAAAGCGCTTTCTCGCTTGTAAGTCTTATCTCGTAATATCTTTACAAATTAATTTTGCTTTAGTTAGTTGCACGCTTAAGAATATACACGTTACATATAAAGATGACTGCAGTAAAAAATTAAATGCTCAGAATTATATATTACAAAAATTCTAAAACTATAAAACAAAGGCTTTTCGTACAATTTGGTATTGTTTTCTTTCTCTGAATATCGACATTATCGACTAAGTTTTGCATATCAAACATAATAAAGAAATTGAAAAAAATACAAAAAAAATAGATAGAAAAATTTTTAATTTATAATGAGAACTTATTATTAGTATTAGGAAAAACTGAGACTAATTGTATCATTTTTTGAATAATTAATGTTAAAAATTGGGAAATTGTACTAAAAGCCAAGAAAACATCTGATTAATTTTAAGATGTATTTCTTCTGCATTTAATATAGAATTTGTCAATAACGATGAGAATTGTTTTTAAGTAATTAATATATTATTGCGATAATATTTATATTTTACTCAACAGATTAAACGATACTATCGGTTTCGCTTAAATTATCCACATATATATACCGATTTGTTAATTACCAAACAAAAGGTTGCACTTTGTGCTGGTTTGATATATCCTTTACCGATTCGTAATCAAGATGGAAGCAGAGTATTGATAATCGAAGGCGGAAAACGATGGAAACCGAAGGAAGTGACGACCAATGACTTTTTCAAAGGCCTAATATTGGTTTTATTTCTAGCGATGGTTGAATACAGAACTCAGGTTTGGTAAAAAAATATTTCTTTAATTGATTTAAGATATTGAGAGAGATCGGCATTAATTTATTAAGATTTAAATTTAGTCTTAAATTTTTAGCGACAGATTTGTAAGTACTTAATAGTCGTGTTCCCATTTCTAAAAAATTGATCTTTCCAAATGATAATAGCAACTTTAAATAAATCTATTTTACGAAAAATTTATATTTTATCAATCCAGGGAACGCATTTCTAATTTGTCATCTTTAAAGTGCTTACGTAAGTAAAAAGTCGTACACTTGAAATTACAAAACTTTTTATTTCTTAGGTCGCGGGCGCGCGTATTATTTTAGATGTTGAAGGTCTATCTCTTAGCCATGTAACGTATATCACACCAAGTTTTGCTAAAATGATAGTAGAATTTATACAAAAATGCTTGCCTACTCGGCTCAAAGGTATCCATATTGTGAATCAGTCTTTCATCTTTAACATGGCATTCGCAATATTCAAACCATTTCTGGAGGTATGACCTTATAATTTTAGATTATATAAGAATGATCTTATGATTTACCTTTATAAGTTGCACAATAATGAATTTTTAGAGAATTTTAAATCTTTTAGTAAAATTCTTATAATATTTATGTGTTGTGTATCATAGGAGAAAATTCGTAATCGGATTCACTTTCACGGGACAAATTGGGATTCCTTAAAAGAATTTATCGATAAAAGAGCATTACTTAAAAAGCATGGGGGCGAGTTGAAAATGGCAGAAGGACAATACGGCGTGATGTTATGGCAGAATATGCTTTCATGTGAACCTGCCTTCGAAGGTAATGGTATAAAAATGATGTATTTCATATCATTAACCGACAGCAGTAAAATCAAAAATATTTTGATAATTCAATGGCAGTATTTACACGGATCCGTGAGTACTCGTTACTATTAATGTGTTCTTGTAAATCATTCAATAACAACAAACTCATGGATCCATTTCGCAACAGTTGAGTATGCTGAACGCGACCAAAGAAAAAATGTCTTGTTACTTGTACGATTAGTGGTATATCAATAAGTAGAAAAGATACGAAATTATTCGAAGAGTGCCTTGAAACAGTTTATTTTCCATTCAATTATTTTCCATTATTGACTTTGTGTAACCTTGAATGATCTTCAATTACTTGTTTTAAAATGCTCTATCAGAATATAAAACATGTCATTCCACACACATTTAAAAAAACAGATTTAATCTTTGCCTTCTTTACGCCTTCACCTACAAAACAATTATTGACTTCTATTGTTAAAAACAAGCGAGTTATTCAGGTAACCTGTTTTAAATGCCTCACTCTGTTTATCCAAAATATCAAATATCATGGTTTGAATGGAAAATTCAGCATGAGTTACTTATGACCGAGGCGCACTTAATGTTAATGAAACAAATACATCATGTTCTTATTTCATAATAAAATTATTTTTATTAATTTTAATTAATTATTTGTCTTGTTAATACTGTCATTGAATTAACAAAATTTCTTTTAATCAAACTGCTGTTGCCTAATGTTGTTAATACAACATTTATGTTCTTCCATATAGGTATACAATACGTATAAACTAACGATTTGGCTCGCGATTTCATATTAATAAAATCTGTATTTTATTTCAGCTGAGCAATATTATGGATACGTGACTAATAAAGATAAGATATGATCTCTGTAGAAATTTAATCGGTCAGTACTTTACCATCATCAATTATTATGGTTTTGAACCGTACGCATGAAGCTATAACAAAAAATGATAAAATCATTGTCGTCCAGATTTGAGAGATGCGGATATAGCTCAGTATGATCTAAAATTCGCAATCATGCGAAAAGAGTGCGAAGTGTTTTATTAAATCATACATAAAGGATGATCTGGTAGAAGCAAATTTTGTATTTAAAGAAAATACAGTATATCAATAGCACTAATGAAAAGTATTACATAAACTGTGATTTATGAGAATTATTTACAAAATCTTTTGTTCCTGAAAAAGTTTCTTGATTATTCAACTTAAAATTAAGTATAATATTAAATGAATATAAAATTATATATATAGATTAGAGTTAAGATATTTTAATAATACATGGTAATAGAGAGAGCATTTAAAAAATAAGAGAGAGAGAGAGAGAAATAGAGAGCGAAAGAGATTGTTATGTATGTTAAAAAAAGAATATAAGAGAGCCTAATTATAGGTTTTATACTATATTAAATATATTGAAAAATATAATATCGTACTTTTCGTTGGTGCTATGATACACAACTGCGTATTATCAAGCAAATAAATACACGATAAATATGTATAAACTTATCTATTATTTATTAAATATATATCAAATTCCCATAATAGCAACGATTTTTTATTACATAATACATACAAATTTAATTTTATGTTAAAAACTACAGACCAAACACACATTTAAGTACATAAGTTAGATTTAATTTTAGAATTTTAAATAAATAGAAATTATATATGTATATATACATACATATATAATACGTATACATACATATGCATACTTAATAAATGATATAAATATATTATTCATTACGTATGAAATACGTACGCAAAATGTATAATACTTTTTATCATATAATTATAGAATAGTTAAGAGAGAGAGAGAGAGAGAGAGAGAGAGAGAGATTAAGATAAAAATTAAAATTACAGATCTTAAATAAGATCATTGACATGTAATTAATCCCAATTTTTTCCGTATCAAAATTAAAAAATAAGTACAGAAATAACGTGATCATTACATTATTACATCACTTTTTCAGCAATGTTATATTATCTTATACAATTTTACTAAATTGTTTAAACAAAAAATGAGATTTAAATGACTGTACAATAATACATACATTATAAATCAATTTACAAAGTGAGCAAGGCTTCGTGAAGACAACATTTCGACGAGTGAATGTACGTATAAAAACGATTCATGATTGTCGTAATTGATATTAAATCTATTTTTTTTTCTCGGAAATGTCGCATTTTATAATTGTTTCTTCGTATTTAATCCAAATATCTATTTTTTGTTGCTGCACGGTTAGTAATTGAAGAACTATGTTTTTTTATAGCCGTACGAACTAATAACTGCAACAGAAGAAAGATTTTTTATTGAAATACATTCTGTTATTAAAATACATTCGCATTTCAAATAGCTTTTAGATTTTATTTGAACTTTGTCATTTTATTACTATTATGAGACGAGTGTTGCAATTTTCTTTTGAACATACCTTCGTATTCCTTGTCGACCTGTATCAACAAAGAGTACCATTCGGCTCCTTTTATCGTTTGCATTTCTAAAGTACCACCGTATTGAGCTGGTAGACATTTCGGCGATACATATTGATGTAATGATTTGCGGTCGGTGCCGTGAAAAATTATCTAGCAAAAGAGAAAAAAGCGAGGAAATATATAAAAATCGAATTAGCAATCAAATTATCAATGTTTAATATTTAGGAAACTAAATCCTACTTGAAATCCATGTAATAATTTACCATTATTTTTTATAATAACAATTTGATATATACATAATAACGATTTTACCATTATTTTTTGTAATAATGATTTTTTTATAATAGCACTGCAATTTTATATGATGATAACTAACTAAAAGCTAAGATCGAAAAAAATCACTTTTGGAAAGTAACTCATTACTTGTATCGTATCAACACGTTTCTTTTACTCGCTACTTTAATTTGTTACAAGGAATGAGTTACTATTTTTCAATAAATAATGCTTAATAGTGATAAACTATTTTTCAAAATAACTTTTCCAATCTTAGATTTTAGTTATTTTTACTATCATAAAAAATTGCAACGTCGTTTTCAAATCGTTATCATAAAAAGTTTGCGCCATTATGCAATATTGCTATATTTTTATAGTGTTCTATAAGTAATAAATGTTTCGTAACTTTGAGTCTAAAATCGATTGAACATTTTCCCAAATGTAATTGTAAAGTTTCAAATTTAAATACTGATAATTTTTCAATCAAGTTATTGTATTGTATAAAGCGTAAATAGAGTGCTATAATGTCACTTTCTCCTTTATAACTTTTTATTCCTGAGTTACCACGTAATATTTTTCTAGAATCTGCTAATAAACTGATAACACAAGTATTGCTAATATTTTGATTCATAGTATACTCACTCTGCTTTTCAACTTCTCTTTCAAGAACGGTTTGAACAGGGCGAACACCATGTTGAATACATACGGCTGATTCACTATGTGTATATTTTTTACCCTCACAGGCATTGCCTCCTGAAGCAGATCGACTATTCTTTTGGCAAACGGTGGGGTAAACTGCCAAGTTTGCTGGAGAGTAAGACCATCCATGTCAAAGACGACAATCGCACCAGCAATTTGTGTGCTTGGCTCCATCATGGCCGCTTCCAAATACAATACACATCCTTTATAAATTTCGTCGAGGCTGCACTTGTTGTGTTTCCATTTCTTGCCGAGTTCGATTATCAGCATACGTCGGCCGTACTGATCGCGATTTGGCAACACGGTTAAGATGTTTTGCTCAAAGACATTTTTCTCTTTACTTGGCTTTAAGTTGTCGTACACATTCGCATGCTTCACCTTGAAGTTGTAATAGTGTTTGATGAGATCGAAAGACGATTCGGGATAATACTTGCATGGCCTCAGAAATCTAATCAACCAAGCTTCATTGTCCAACGGACATTTCAGACTTTTTTCAGCTATTAAATAAAAAAGATTTTAAACATAAAAAATATCCGAGAAGTTTAACACTTATAGTATCATGTTCATTTCAATGTCATCTCTACTATTGTAGGTATCTCAATTGTTTATCTCTTCACCTATTTAAAATGGTAAAAAAATCTCTAAAAATTCACAAACATACTTTCAACTTTATAGAACAAATGTTTAAATTTTATTTTAGAAAATATAAAATATAATAAAATATAATTTAATTAAGAGTCATAAAAAAAATTATAAGTCGAATAAAAATGGCATTTGGTTTAAAAAATTGTAATTGTTTATAATAAAGGCACATAAAAACTTTAGTGTTTTTTTAGTTCGAGTACAAAGTTTTGAAAAAAAATTCAAGAACTTCAGATTTTTCAAAAAATAAAATATTTAAAGAACATAAAAATGATATATATAAAATCGGCAAAATTGAATTTTGTGCTGTTTACGCAGGGAAATTTGACAGCCGCGGTCGCTACATTCGCATGCATACGTTTCTCTCCTCATAAATTTTTTTAGGAGGAGATGAGAAATGCCGTTTGTCCAACGTACGAGAAGTTTGAATAGAAATGGAATACGAAATATTCAAGACAGTAATTATCGAACAAACAATTTACAAAAATAAAGTTGCTTGTATATTATTAATTATCATCAATAATTAAAATCTAAATGTCATCGTATTTAACGAAATGCTCAAATCGTCTATTTAAAAATTATCTGTAATATTGAATAAAATAATAAAATTTATCATAATTATTAAAAATTTAAATAAAAACTTACATTGCAATCATACTGATAACGGTCTATTATAAAATGCGACGTGCTTACAGTCAAAACGTTAAGAGAGGCCAGATAGAAATTATCAATATATGTATAAAGCCAGAGGCACACGATGCTTATTTTCCTGCTGGATTGCTAGCTGGATCAGATTCTTGTCATCGGATTGGTTGTGATACTGGCACCGCAGCCAACATCACAGCCAATATAGCAAGATTTTAATCCAACTAGTAATTTAGCAGGAAAACAAGTATCGTGTGCCGCTGGCTTTAGTACAGTAAAGGAGTAGGTATAATAAATAAATGTAACACAAAATATAAACATTAAAAATAAAATAGATATTTTTAACACATAGGTATTTGTTGCGTACTTTTGCGATTAATGCTTAACGCCCAAGCCAGTTATTATCAAGCATAGATTGAAGAAAAATGAAAAATGAGCATTTCGAATTAGAGGAGATTTTAGATTATATAACCGGTATCGCTGATTAGAGATAAACTTTAATTTTTATATTGCAACTATATTTAAAACGCGTTTTTCTGGAAATCATATCTTTCGGATCTGTTTATTACATGAACATTATTGCAACATACATAAAATTAATTACTTTCATGAATTAAAAAATTTTGTTAAAAAATCGATACTTGTCTTTTAAAACCATACCATTTGAACATCTGCAATATTTTTCATTTATCCTAGTTTAAATTATATACATAATCACACTCTCATAATAATAACGCGAATATATGATAACTAAAAATTCTTTTATATCCTTTTTTTGTTTCGGACAAAAGTATTTTGTAGAGATTTCAAAATAATAATAAAATAAAAATTAATAAATATTTAGTCGTTTTAAAATTTACCAGTGTTTACTAAATACGAACAAATAGATATAGCGTAAAAGAATATGTGTATGTAGCAGTTTCTTTAAAAAAATTTCCAAATGTAATCACATTTTCATGTTTTGCAGTGGAATACTTTTTAACATGTTGAAATTTACAATAATTCATATTTTATTTCGTAACTTTTACGTTAAATAGATTACGTTAATTAGATTTTTTAAATATTCAGTCAGTTTATACCTTTTAATAATTCTTGTAGACGTGCCATCGACTGTTTTTGTATCTCGGGAGACTCTCTCAATTCCTTCTTGGCTACTTCTTGCAATTCTGGACTAGGAGGACCGAACTCGAATTCGAGCTTAAAGTCGCCAATTTTTATGAACGGCACTTCACTAAGGTCCGATAACATGATTTCTGAAAAAGTGATATAACATGTTAGCGAGTCTCTCTCTCTTTTAGCTAATATTTATTCAATTTTTCTTGAACAGATATTTTTTAACAGCAATAATAAACACTGTCGACGTTTACGATAACAATTAACAGCTAATTCGTGCTAATTTGTTAATAAGACAAGTTATAGAAAATATTTATAATGTAAAAACTTTACATTATTTGGAGACATTTACAAAAAAATTTACAAAATATATTGTTTTACTTTTAATTAAACATAAAAAGATACAAAAATATAAAAAGTTAATAAAAATTTTATTTATAGAGAAAAGAATGCAGGAGGTTTTTATAGTTAAATTGGAGATAGAATCAGCATTTAAAGGAAGGAACCTATTCTTTGTTTAATCGTTATTTATTATGAAATTTGAATTAGAAAATTAATTTGTAATCAAAATTTATTAATAATATTAAAATCGCTTGTCATTGAAGACAGGCTCGACAATTTTGAGATTTCCCAGTACATTTTGGTTTATAGTTTTATGTTTACATTGTTACCATTTTGTAATAACATATTTTTAACATGTTATTTTTAGATTCAATCTGTGGAATTTTCTGAGGAAAACTAGACCAGAAAATAGCAAATTGTTTCGTCAGAAGTCACGGAATTGTAATAACAAAACGCGAAGTATCCCATAACTTTTGGATCTATTTTCAATATAACAGTAAATTATTATATTTCTAATGAGCTTTGTGTATTTAATTTAATTGTATACAATTTTAATTTTGTACTATAATTTAATTTTTTATATCTTATAAAAAAGAATTGTGTCATTTATTCTTTTTCCAAAAATAAAATTACAAATTTTACCTTTAATTTAAACATTAATATCTTTTATCTCTTTTTAAATCATCCAGTCTTTTATCTTATACTGCCTATTTTATTTGAAATATGAAGCTGGGGCAAGTACATAATAATGTAATATACTTAGAATATAATCATCAATAATAATCACCAATACGTAAACGTAATATTATATGTATCTATTTTAAATTCCAATATTTCATAAACAATAGTAAGAACAACTGACTCTTGCAAGAAATCAAATAATATACTGTCAATTGTTGCGTAAATAATAGATGAAAAAGACCCCTCATAGGAACGATAGTTAATTAATGCACTACGAATACAGTCAACTGAGAATCCAGAGTTTTTCAAATAAAATTTTATATTGTCGTGTTACATTCGCGAGAACTGTCATTGGAAATATGATTCAGCACCGTTATCAAAAATATTCGAAGGAGTCATTTTGTGGACACAGAAATATTTTGCAGTTTTAAACGACTGTAATTATGGTACATTTGTATAATATTGTATAATTATAATTGCACAAAAAATCCATGCGAATCTTTAAGTAAATTCAAATAAACTTTTTTAGTTGAAAATGATTAATCTAATTTGTAATAATATATGTACTATTTTATTCTATAATATTTTTCTATCTTTCGAGTAATTTCATAATTTTTTTCTCGTAAAAGTTTGGATTTTTTAACGTCATCTACTGAAAAGTCGTTTATTGAATATTATTCATTTCTTAAGTGTTTAATTTCTTTATTTCTTAATTATACATAGTTAATATATTGCTAAAAAATTTGATAAAAAAACTATATATTAAATATAAACATACATAATTATATATAAAATATATATGTTTTTTCTTTTATTATAATCTTTATTATGTACACGAAAAATAATAAATAGAATAATTAAAAAATAATTAAAATAGTTAAAAAGATAATTATTTTTAATCAGTTTTCCTATTATTTTTTGTAACATATAATAAGTCAATAAAGATTATATAGGAGAAAGAAAATATGTATTATATAACATATATGTTATATACAATATCATTATATTTATTGCATATGATTATATGTATATGCAGATTTTTTACTAGCAAGTAAAAATATTTATACAACAGATACACATGTACGTTACGCGTACATCTATTATATATAATTGAAAAAATAAAACAAAAAGAATTGTTAGTGTTATATAAATTTATTAATGGATTCTGTTAAAGTTCTTTTAATTGGTCTGACAAACACGATTGTTCTCTAAGAATTAGAGATCAAGAACATAGGTCAAGGATACGCGTAGCAAAATTATACTATAATTACCATACGTAATTTTAGCGATAAAATAAATTTCTTTTGATTGTTCATCAATCACAAAGAAAAACTAATGTAATGATCAAGAGATATTATTTATTTGTAAAAGATATGTTGCCAAGGAAGTGGTATTATTGTTTGCTGACATAATGCTCGACAATTTTAGATACCGCGCACAATAATATTATCATTATAGAGAAGACTTTATATAATATTATCATTCCTACGTGATACGAATCGAGATTGATGACTTAGAAAGAGAACCTTGAGAAAGGACCTTGATTCTGCAACTAAAAGGAAAGTGATGTAAGATTTTCAACAAGTTCTTGTGTAATTTTCAATCTGTTCTCTTTTTATCTTTAAAGTGCAATTAAAAAGCGTCATTTAAAAAAAATGTATATTTTCCTAAAATATTTAAAAATTTAAATAGATAATTTTTATATATTTTAAAACCAGTCTTTCCGTATATATGTTACAGGAACTTTAAAAAAAATTGGAATTTTCAAAAGTAATATATTTTACTTTCACAAAAAGTTTACGATGTGTGTTTTAACATACTTGTAAACGATTATTTGTTGGAATGTTGTATTCTTGCAATAAAACGTGTTTTTGCAGCGTTACACTGAGAGAAATTTTTTGGTATGTATAACGATTTATTTTATTAATATGTATGTTTAATAAAAACTTTCTTACTTTTTTATTTAGAAATTGTATTATTCTAAAAATTTGATTATAAAACAATACAATTTTTAATTCGAATAATCAATTTTTTTATTAGAACAATTAAAATTTTGGTTAAAACAATACGATTTTTAAATGAAAAAGTAAACAGATTTTTGTTAACTATATATAAATAAATACAATAAAATAAATGATTATATGTATCAAATCTTTTTCTCAATGTAGACATGCTAAAAGATAACTTTATTGAAAGCAAAAGCTGAAAAATAACGCATAACTTGTAAAATGTGATAAGAAACATTATGCACCCAAAGAAAAGTTATGTTTAAATTAAAAGAATAATTTCTTTCGTGAATTTTTTAAATTAAAGTGAAAATACCTTTAAAAAAAAATAAAAATTTATTTGATTTCAAAAAATAATTTTCAAATCAAAGAAACTTTCTTTTAATTGCAAACACAATTTCTTTTTAAATGGAAGAAACTTTAATCTGGATGTGTAAAAAATGTAACATATTAATACGAACATGTAAAAAATTTTTTTTAAATTCGTAATTTTTGAAAATAATGCATTTTACTGTCACAAAGTTCACGATATATTTGACACATTTGTAAACGATCGTTTGCGGGAATGTTATAATCTTGCAATGGAACGTGTTTTGTAACGTTATGCACGCTGAGTCGCTGAAAGATAACGTTGTCTACTCGCGCACCCATACTTGTTCTTCTGTACGTTTCGCTTACTACACTGATATCATTTATTAATTTACATGAACTAGTTAATACACTACTGCGGTCAGTTTCTGTTGTTTGCGCGCTCCTTATCGTGACTTATAGACAAGTGTAACGTGCACATGTTTATTTATTTTAAATTCGCCTGCGCGCACTACGCGTAACGATTACGGGATATCAGATTTGAGAAGAACGTAACAGGTGTAACAGAATGTGTAACGTTATGCTATGCGCCTGAACTTGCGATTTTGCAGGATGCAATTATGTAACGCTTAAGCCGAACATTATTATACACGATGCAACGAGATAATTTTGCATAATGGCATGCAAGACGCTCTCTATTTTTTATGCGGCGCAGCGTATCGTGAATTAGCTCAGGATCTTACGATCGTGCACGATTGCATCTACGTGGAAATTAATTATGACGTTGTGCCCTTATGTTGCAAATCGATAAATGCCAACGCGAATCCTGCGGTGTTATACAAAACGCGCGGACATTGCAATTACACGTCAAAAATAGTCATTTGACGATGGCGCATCTCAATTAAATTCTATTTCACATGCGATATAAAATTACGTAAAGATGCACGTTGACCAGAAGTAGAAGAAATGAAGAGTCATCTGGAATCGCGTGGAATTTTCACGCAGCTTTTTTCTACGTTTTGCACTTATTCAATATAACGAGGATTGTGTTATACGTGTTATAAGCAATGCTTACTTATACATAATCTAGCTTGTTTCATGTTTTCAAGTTTACTGGCTTTAAAAATATTCTTTTATGCGGGGAAATACCAGGATATATTTCCGCACATTAAAAAAAAAAACACGTATACTTGTTTTTACGATTACATTGATACTTGGTCGACTTGTTTGCAGACGAAACATGTCATGGCAAACTGCATTTCAAGTTTGGAGTTAGATGCTCCGCCTTCTACGAAGTCGTTTATGAGGCACTTCTACTTTAATGGTATATCGATCTTTCATACACGATATTGCTTGATATAGAAGAATAGAAATGACTTCTTCTGAATAAAAAAAAATTTTAAGATAATTAATTAAAAATTGCCGAAGTAATCTGAGTTATGAATCACTTAAAAAGCAATGAAAATTATATGGCAAAATGAATTTTAATAATATATAAATAAAGAATATAAAACAATTTTTTAGTCAACTTTAAATATATGATATATCTTCTCTTTAAGCTAATTATGTAACATATTATACAATTAACTATACAATATAATTATACAATTATTTTAATATATAGATAATTAATGATATTAATTACACAGTTATTATATAAATGATCAATTAATAATTAAGGTATATTATTATATGTATAATTGTTTTGACATAACTGATGATCACGTATTTATATCAAAATCGTATTTTAAAGAAAAAAGAATATTATGAGAGAAAATAATCCAGAAATAGTTTATTGAGTA